AAAAAAAAAAAAAAAAAAAAGGGAAAATCAACAACATCTGATGGATTCTGCCAGGCATGGTAGTTCACACTTGTAACCCCTCACTTTGAGAGACTGGGGTGAGAGGATTGCCTGAGCCTAGGGGTTTGAGACCAGCCTGGGCAGTTTGGTGAGACCTCGTCTCTACAATAAATAAAAAAATAAGCAAGACATGGGGGCGCACACCCATAGATCCGCCTAGTTAGAAGACTGAGGTAGAAGGATCACCTGAGCCCAGCAAGGTTGAGGCTGCAGTGGCTGTGACCATGCCACTGCACTCCAGCTTGAGTGGCAGAGTGAGAAACCAACTCAAAAAAAAAAAAAAGAGAGAGAATCAACTAAATAAAATTGCTTATTTTAAATTTTGTAGATTTCACAATACTTTTTTTTTTTTTTTTGAGTCAGCGTCTCACTCTGTCACCCAGGCTGGAGGACAGTGACACATTCCCAGCCACTGCAGCCTTGACCTGCTAGGCTCAGACAATCCTTCCACCTCAGCCTTCCAAGTAGCTGGAACTATAGGCATGCACCACCACGTTCAGCTAATTTTTTGATTTATTGTAGAGATGAGGGCTCACCCAGTTGCCCAGCTCTCACTTCAGTCTCCCAAAGTGCTGGGATTACAGGCTTGAGCCACCACGCCCAGGCCCCATAAAACTTAATAGAAGCTAATTATTCAGAATTTCAAAAACGAATCCATTGTTGTTGTTGTTTGAGCTGGATTCTCACTCTGTCGCCCAGGTCAGAGTGCAGTGGCACACTCATGGCTACCCCAGCATCGAACTGCTGGAACCACAGGTGCAAGCTATCACATCCAGCTAATTTTTTATTTTATTGTAGAGATGAGGTCTCACCAAGTTGCCCGGGCTGGTCTCAAACCTGTGGGTTCAGGTAATCCACTCGCCTCGGCCTCTCAAAGTGCTGGGATTACAGGCTGAGCCACTGAGCCCGGTCACCAATCCATTGTTAAAAGACATGTTCAATGTATCTATATATGTAACTACTTTATATGCCTTATGTTTTTCTAGTTTCTAAGTTATTTTAGAGTCCCTGTAAATGATAGTCTATACCATATGCAACCAGTACTATCTCCTACCACCACCTTGATCAGAGCTTCTCATGGGGAAACTAGCCACTAGAACAAAGCTTTCACTCAGTAGGGAGAATTTACATTCTGGTTTCAATGAGCTATATTAGGATTCTATCCTTCATTATTTTTATTTTTATTTTTTTGAGTTGGCATCTCAGTCTGTTACTCAGGCTAGAGTACAGTGGTTCAATCATGGCTCATCCCAACCTCGAACTCCTGATTTCAAGCAATCCTCCCACCTCAGCCTCCTGAGTAGCTGGGACTACAGGCATACACCACCATACTCAGTATTTTTTTTTGAGGAAAAAAAAATCCACCAATTTTTATTTTGGACACACAGAAGTTATCATTTAATTGAATTCTGAAAATTTGAATCACCATAGAGGGTAATTTTTTATAACTGGCTTTTTATTTTTTTTATTTTTTTTTGAGTTGGAGTCTCA